AAAATTAATTGGAAACAAAATTCTAATCAGTTTTTCAAAATGAAACTACCTCAGTGATTCTTTTTAATTTTCTACGCTAATTTGTACGCCAGGCTTCTATACCGTATGATTTCTCTTTTCATCTTCCAATCTCTTTGTTTCTTCTTCTTCTTCTTCTTCTTCTTCTTCTTCTTCTTCTTCTTCTTCTTCTTCTTCTTCTTCTTCTTCTCACTATATCTCTTATTCCCTTTTCTTATTCTTCCTTTAAAATACTTTATTTCACTTTACCCTTTCTTTTCTGTCTTTCGATTTCCACCATATTTTTTCTGCAATGAAACTTGCTTATTAACTGATAGGATGCACAATCGTTCCCATGACGATTTGACATTGAAGAAAACAATTACAATACACGGAGCTTAACTGAAGCATGCTTCTTCGATATAATGATAACTTCTGTCCTCATTACTTACTCCAGAAATGTTTTCTTGGGCCAGATTTTTCTTAATTTGGTATTTTTTTGAGCGCTAGGATACAAATTTCTCCAAATTTTGGCCACGTGTAATACGGATACGAGGAATCAGTTTATTATTATTTTTGGTGTTGTTCATTTTTTGGGAAGAGTTTTCCTTTGATTCCGTTTGAATTCTGGTTATCATTATTTACATCATGTACAGGCGGACTATTGTCTTCATCTTTGTTGTTATTATCACAACGTTTCGACCTCTGGCCTTCATCAGGTGCTCATCGATTCAGTCAGCATCCAGAATATTTCCAACTGAACCCTCATTCCACTGATCATGTCTTGGAATATCTCGTCTAGTTATTGCTTAGTACTACTCCGTTATTGTTAGTCCAGTTTCCACAGAGTCCAAAGTACACACCATCCGACAGGCGAATAGTCTTGGTTCGGGAATTTGCCGGGCAGTGTGTACTTGAACTCAGTGAAAACGGGGCTAGCAATAACGGATTCAGTCAGTTATGTGCCACGCGTGATACACGCTTAGGCGATCATGTATTTTTTCATACTTGACTGACGAAGCAGATTTATTCCTGCAGTAGGTTGTCATTTCTTTTCTGCGGTAGACCAGTAGCCATCCAAGGCTATAGAACTCGGTCTGTCCACAGCTGGGGGGGACAGGATTCATACCTTTCCCAATGGTATTAGCACGTAACTGAATGTAATGGATTCGACTGAAATTCGAACCTGGCTCTCAAATTCCTCAATCCGAGACGCTATCCATTACTCTACCGAGATAATAACAAGACGACATATCCCTAGACATGGTCAGTGGAAGGAGAACACACTACTCCGATAGATTAAATAAAGGCTTCAGTTAGAAATTCACGTACATAAGTATGAATCATCCCAATTCCCTTTGTATTCCATTAGTAAGAAGGAAGTTCTCCTCCGGCATTTTCCCAAGAGTCGTTACTTTTTGGAACATCTTCCCGAGAGGATGCTTTCCCCAATCATTACAATCTTAATCTCTTCAAGTTTAAGGTCAAATGTTACCTATTCTACATATCTTCATAATTTGCACTTCTTTACCCCAAATTTTACTCCATCATACAACAACCTCATTTAATAACCATCTACATTGAGTGGCTCTTGAGCCTTGTATTGAGTGAACAATCAGACTTGGATGATCTTCGTTAGGCTGATGCTGTCATATCTGGACTTAAGCTGCCCAGTCTTCACTTGCCTGTCTTGATATAGTTCAAAAGAGTCTGTGAGGCCTTGTGAATAATAAATTCTTTTCCAACCTACAACCACTTTCCCACAGTCGAAACGTTGCTAGCCTCTCACTGCTACTTCTATGGCATGTGATCTGCCGAGCTCTATTCCTTAGTCCCTGACCTTTACAACTTGGACACACCATACCACATACACAAGAGTGAATCATCTTCATTCCCTTTATTATTCCAATAGTAATGAATTCCATTTAGAAAGCTTCTTCTCACGAACTGCTGCCTTGTGGAACTGACTCCCAGCAGGATGTTTTCTCTAATATTACAATCTTGACCTCTTCAAGTCTAAGGTTAACCGTTATCTTTCCTGCATAGCCTTATAAACTTCACTTCTTGCCTTACGTTCATACAACTCCACACAGTAACCCTCTACCTTGAGGGTCTCTCGGGCTTTCTATTAGATGAACATTAGTATTAAAAATCTAGATGTGATTCATAAGTCGCTTATCTGCCTCATCCTTCAAACTTAAAAAACAACAACTTTCAACATCCAGGCATGATTCTTGCCCAATATTGCCGCGCATGAATATAGATGTACAGTTCTCAATATATATCTGTTCTAACCCAGTCATGTGTACGTTTATAATTCTCCAGGTCTAATAGGGAAAATCGAAAGAAAAAAGACACATTTTTAAAATCGGGAAGAGATAAGTTAAATTTTCCAGGGCACATAATGAGGAAAGAGAACTTAGAGAATTTGACACTCACATGACATTTTAAAGACAAAGGGGAAAATACGAATAACCTAGCTAAGGAACTTGTGCAAATGGTT